ATCTCCTCAAAGAAAAAGCAATTTTGGACTGTAGCGGATTATAAATACTTCAAGGAAGAATCAAAGCAACTGTCTGGAAATTACAAAGATTTAAAATGACTATGGTTAAAAATCTAATGAGGTTTTTATTAGGTTGACTATAGTAAAGACACAGCTCACATAGAAATCTAGTTACTTCTGTGGCATATGACACTATGACTGATAACATATTCGATTTCCAGAAATTTCATAGTTTTTAGAATACTAATTTTTTTAATTTTTTTAATTTTTATTTTTATTTTTTTGAGATGGAGTCTCGCCCTGTCACCCAGGCTGGAGTGCAGTGGCATGATGTCTGCTCACTGAAAGCTCCGACTCCCAGGTTCACGCCATTTCCTGCTAATGCATGGGGCTTGAGCATCCACTTTTAAAATGTTTTCCAGTGATTCCAATGTGTAGCTCTATTTCACATCAGATTTCTCTGGTTTTTTGTGGCCTTCACTTTTTTTCTATTTTGGTATGATTATTTTCACGTCTCATATCCTGTCTTAGGCTTTATGTCTCCTGGGGTAGGGACCTTGCTTTCTTCGTTTCTATATCTTTTTTGAACACGTGAATTGGTCATCAGGAAAAGGTCTCAATCACACATACGTTGTGTTCTGAGTCTCAGGGTCACAGGCTAACCCTAAAGCTTTTGTTCTCCACGAGGTCAGAGATTGCTTGTGATGAAGGTTGTGGTTAAGTCTGTAATGCAGATGGTGGAGGGGAGTTCATCCTGTTTTTAGGCATAGCATTGGAATTAAGAATTTTATGTCTGTGTGCGTGATGGCGCAGGGATGTGTAGGAAGACAGTTCTAATTAGGATGTAGAAATTATACTAGGAAGTAGAGGTAACGGAAGTGAGAAGGATTAGTAAATAGAAGAAATGTGAAGTTACCAAATAGGGTAAAGGAGATGCCTGGAGATTTCTGATTAAGTGAATTAACTAGATTTTAGAAAGGTAGTCCTATGCAAGGAAGGTTTCAAAGTCTGGACACAAGAAGTCAAGCAACACTTTGAGAAGTGGTTGAGCTTTATGGGAATGGAGAGAATTACACTATTGAGAGATGTGAAAAATAATGAAGAGGGTTTCACAATGTGAAATTGTGTTTCTCATTTGAATCTGAGAAACAAATGAGGAGAGACTGGAGATAATTATGTCTAAAAGACAATGGGGTACAGGGAGCATAAAGGCCAGGGAGAAAGGGAACTGCAGGAATTAGTGCTGAGAAGCAGGAGTTTGGTGGAGGAAGGAGGAGATCCAGTCCCAGATACAGGCAAATAAGTCTTCTCCCTCTCCCAAGCATGGCAGTCAACTCTGCAGGAAACAGGACAAGAGAAAAGGCCATCATACCTGTCAGTCTTCCTAAAATACAGAAATGACATCACGGCTGCTATATCGGATTATGACCAGGATGCAGGTCCTATTCCTGAACGAGCTGTCATGGAAAGAAAAGAAAAGAAGGAATGGAGGTGACGTTATTTTACAGGGGGGAGCCTCAAGAACAAGCATGTAACATGAGGTATTCTATAACTGTTTCTTCAAGGAATACATTATTTCTGTTGGAAAGTTGATGGGAGATGATTATATTCCTGCAGTTTTGTTCCCCTCTCATCATATTTCTAGGTTGGTGATCAGTCCTCTGTCATTTCTCTACTGCACTCAGATATTTCAGGAAACTTTCAGATGTGAGAAAGGCTGATTGGTATTTTCTATGTCATTAGAACTTTCCACCTTTCCACCTTTTCATGGTTGCATCTTTTTCTCAGTGCCTCTGTGGTGGCAACCATGAATCAGACCCTGCCAGGTGTCCATGGCAGGGACCTGATTGACAGAAGGCCCAGGTCAGTGCATTTCAAATTCACCACCTACTTTGCACAGAAAGCTTCCTTCCCACAGGCTCCCAACAAGGGCGCGAAAGCAAGCCTAGTTCTCTGAGGCTCTCTTTAACTTTAATGGGTGACTGGTTGGAGGATTCCCTATCAGCGTTGCAGAAACTCTCTTAGAACTGCATTGATACCTAAAACTTCTTTCTCTTTCTTTTACACAGAAGTCAACTTTGCATAGGGGTCTGTGGGTTCTCCCATACTACCTTCACGTCTGCCCCACATTCCCTCACAGGTATCTTCCATGATAAATTATCTCATATGTCCAATCCCAAAATGGATACATCTCAGTTGGTAAAAAGTAACAGACCAGACTTGATTCTTTGCACTTAGCTTTTTTCCTTTCTCTACCACAAGTAGTCAGTAGTCATGTCCTAGTTTTTATGTGGAACCTCTCTTTCTATATACATATGGAAATAGGTACTGTTGAGGGGCACGTCCTATGTGCCAGGTCCTGTGCTAAATACTTTACCTGTACCTCATTTAATTCACACACTAACACTGTCAGGTAGACATTATTTCCATTTTGAAAATGAAAAGACACAAGTTTAGAATAGTGTAAAATCTCTCCTGGTGTCATATGGCTAGTAATAGGTGGATCTGAGATTTGATTCTAGGACTATCTGACCTCAAGGTTAATGATGATGGTAGTAATACAGCAGCTGACAGTGGTTCGTCTGTGTGTGGCATCTTGTTTCATTGACTGCATGAAACCTTTAAAAGAATGGTATGAAGCAAGCTCTCTCCTACTTCAGGATATGAAAGAAGAACAAACGAAACCCAAGCACAGTGACTGAAGGACACAATATGGATTAGAGTAGATCAAAATAAAATGGAGAATGGAAAAAGAATAGAGGAAATTAATGAAACCAAAGTTGATTCTTCAAAGTAAAATCAACAAAATTGATGACCATTAACTAGACTGACTAAGAAAAAAAGAGAGAAAATTAAAATTACTAAAATCAGAAATGAAAATGGAGTCCCAGCATGGTGGGTCATCTTTTAATCCTATCATTTTGGAAGGTCACAATGGGAGGATTTCTTGAGGCCAGGTGTTTGGACCAGCGTAGGTAACCTGGGGAGACCCTCCCTCTACAAAAAAATTTAAAAACCCATTACCTGGGCATGGTGGCATGCATCTGTAGTTCTAGTATCTTGGGAGGCTGAAGAAGGAGAATAGCTAGAGCCCAGGATGTTGAGGCTGCAGTAAGCCACAATCACGCCACTGTATTTCAGCCTGGCTGGCCTACAAAGTGAGAGCCTCTCTCTCTCTCTCTTAAAAAAAAAAAAAAGAAAGGAAAAGAAAAAGAAAACAGAAAATGAAGTGAAGTGATTACTACCAATTCTAATAAAATGATGATTATGAAAGTACTGTAAATAATTGTATGCCAATAAATTGGATAACCTAGATTAAATAGATAAATTCCTAGAAAAACACAAAACTATGAATAGTACTATAATCAGTAATAAGATGAATCAATAAAAGCATTTGATGAAATTCAGTATTTTTTCATAATAAAAGCATTCTAACTAAGAATGGAAGGAAACTACCTCAACATAAAGGCAATATGTGAAAAACCCAATGCTAACATCATACTCTGTGGAGAAAGACTGAAAGCTTTCCCTGTATGAGCAGGAACAAGACAAGGACGCTGCTTTTGACAATTCTATTTAATGTAGTATTGAATTGCCTGGTCAGGAAAATTAGGCAAGAATTTTTAAAAAGACATTCAAATTGGAAGAAAGGAGTAAAATTATTTCTGTTCACAGATAACTTGAACTTATATGTAGAAAATCCTGAAGATGGAACAAACCTATTAGAATTAATAAATGAATTCAGTAATGTTGCACAATACAAAATCAACATTCAAACATCAGTTGTATTTCAACACACTAACCTTGAACAATCTGAAGGGAAATTAAGAAAAAAAATTTAATTTGTATTAACATCAAAAAGATTAAAATATTTAGGAATAAGTTTAACCAAAGAGGTGAAATGATAATACCTGAAATCCATAAAATATTGCTTAATGATGGCATCAATAAAATGAAAGACATTTTGTTTTCATGAATTAGAAGACTCATTATTGTCAGGAGGACAATGTCACCCAAAATGAGCTGCAGATTCAATACAATTCCTATCAGAATCTCAGTGACATTTTTGCAGTAAAAGAAAAATCCGTCCTAAAATATATATTGAATCTTATGACTCTAAGAGACAAACAACATTGAAGAGGAAGAATGAGGCTGGAGGACTCACACTTCCTGATGTCAGCATTTACTACAAGGCCCCCGTAACCAATACAGTGTGGTACTGGCATAAAGGAGGACTTAGAAATTAACAAGATAGAACAGAGAGCCCAGAAAGAAATACTTGCATATATGGCCAAATGATTTTCATCGAGTGTGCCAAGATCGTTCAATGGGGAAAGGACAGTGTTCTCACCAAATGATATTGGAAAAGCTGGATATCCAAGGGCAAGAATGAGTGGAACTTTTACCTAACATCATATACAAAAATTAACCCACAATAGATCAAAGATCTAAATGTAAGAGCAAAATCTGCACAACTCTTAGAAGGAAACAGGAGAAAACTTCATGATATTGGATTTCACAACGATTTCTTGGTTGTAACCACAAAAGCATAGGCAACAAATAAAATGGATAAATTGGACTTCATAAAAATCAAAACCTTTTATACATTGAAGAACATTATCAAGAAAGTAAAAAGGCAACCCATGAAATGAGAAAAATATTTGCAACTTATAAGTGTGATAAGAAATTAATTTCCAGAATGCATGAAAAACTACAAGTCAACAACAGCAAACATCCAAAAACCCAATTAAAAAATGAACAAAGGATTAAAATGGAGTTTTCTCCAAGGAAGATATGCAAATATCCAATAAGCCCATGCAGAGTTCCTCAACGTCATGAATACATAGAGATATGCAAATCAAAACCACAATGTGACACCACCTCACACACTTTAGGATGGCTTTGATAAACAACAATGACAACAACACAAAACAAGTGTTTTCAAATAGATGGAAAAATTGGTTACTTTAGCCTGGGACTGACCGGGAGGCTCTGACCATTTACCCACCACATGTAGGTGTAGTCCTGAGTCTTAGGTTTACAAGTTAAGGCTACAGCATTCTTATTCTTAATGGGGTTGGTGTTGTTGCTGGTGATGTAGGGCTTGGGCAGCTCTGCTGTGTGGACAGCAGAGAGAAGATTGTCCAGTGTGGCACCTTTGATCCCTCCACAGGAATCCTTCAATCAGAGTTGGCATCTCACACCTCTCAGCCCTCCTGAGTCCTTGAAAGTCAATAGCTGGTGCATGTGTCACAAGACAGATGCATGATGATCTAAGGGCTCAAAGACTGTGAGGCCGCCTGCTCTGTCTTAGGGAAGCACAGACTTTCTCAAGTGTGAATTGAGCAGCAGTGTTGGGTCACAGACAGACACATCAGTGGGAGTCACAGGCCCAGGTACCCCTCCAAGTCCCTCTCTAATCAGCTGACTGGCTGGCTCACCTTGGGTTCCTTACCTGGAATGTGCAACTGCTGGGCCCCTTCCAAATTCCATCCTACTTTGCCCCCCTAGATGTGATTTCTCTGCAGTTTCCATTTCCAAGGATATTCTAGAGATGAGTAATAATGGGACTTCCCATTGTCCTGAAACCCTGAAGATACTGAGTAGCCTGGCCTGGGACTGGATGTTTCAGCAGAAATAAGACAGGGGAGACCAGAGTCAAGCCTGGAGGTCAGTTCAGTCATCAGGCAGTGGAGACACAAGGTGGGGCAGTTTTCTGCAGGTGTTTCATGATGACTTACTTGTTCCAGTGACCTCCAAAGATAGAGCAGAGTGCAAGGAGTGATCTAGAAAGAGTGAAGGGGTCAGGCAGGAGCTGGTGGCTTGCGAGCAGAACCATGTTCCCTGTTTTGGGTTCTGTAAGTTTCCTCTCCTGCAGAGGACAGGTGAAGACTATGCGGATCTTTCCAGAAACACATGTTGACATTTGCTAAAGCAGAACGGACTGGTGGAAAGGGTGGGAATGAACTGCTGGAAATCTGGTCCTCATGGACCATGTGTGTTTGATGGATATGAGACAAATTTGGGGAGAAGTTTTGAACATTTTCTTTCATTGGACCCTCTACTCTCTGATTCCATGGGTTTGACTACTCTAGGGACATCATGTAAGTGGATTCCAGAGTGAATCTGAGAAGAGACTGTTGGTTGCCAGAAACTGGGAGTGGGGAGAATCAGAAGTTGTTCATGTGTGTGCAGTTTCAGTTATACAAGACTGGGAGGTTCTAGAGATCTGCTGTACAGTTTGATGTCTACAATTCTCACAAATTGAGTATTTCTTATGCATAAGACTTTGGGCAAAAAGTGTTTTTAATTTCTGACATTTCTTGATTCTGAAATATTTGTCATGCAGTTACTGGTTTAGCATTCCAAATCTGAAGGTTTCAAAATCTGAAATGCTCCAGTGAACATTTCTTTTCAGTATCAGATTAGTACGCCGAAGTGGGAGATGATAAGCCAAATAAATTCTTGCTCTTTTTTTTTTCTCTCACCACCTTTCTAGCTTTGTGATTAGTTTTTGGGCAATTCCATACTGGCCATGCTGCACTCGTATATTTTTGAAGGCTTTGATATGTGAGAGAGGCTGATTGCTATTTTGTATGTCATCAAAAATTTCCAACTTTCCGTGGTTTCATCTTTTTCTCGGTGTTTCTCTTGTGGCCATCATTAATAAGAGCCTGTCAGGTCAGATTTAGGACAGATTTTTGTAATTCTGAAAAAATGTTACTGGGATTCTGGTAGGAGTTGTGTTGAATCTGGAGCTCACATTGGGTAGTATTGCTTTCCTAACAATATTGATTCTTCCAATCCGTGAAAATGAAATGTCTTTCCATATCTCGATGTTGTCTTTAATTTCTTTCAGTAATATTTTGTAGTTTTCAGGGTATAACCCTTTGACCTTTTTGGTTAAACTTATTCCAAAATATTTTATTCTTTTTGATGTTAATGTGAATGGAAATTCTTTCTGAATTTCCATTCACATTGTTCATTGTTAGTGCATACTCTAAAGAATGATCTAGAATGAGTGAAGGGTACAGGCAAAAGCTGGTGGTTTTCAAGCAGAAACATATTACCTGTTCTGGGATTTTGATTTTCCCTCTCCCTTTGCAGAGGACACACGGCTCTTCCCTGATAGCCAGATAGGCTTCACTGGAAAACATATTGCCAATGTTCCAGGGATCCACTTACCAGGGACTATGATCCTCTTGATTATGAGATTTGTTCCGCCAGTGGCTGAGTTATGGATGAACCAGATATAGCACCCTCTATATGTTTTAGTGATTTGGGGCATAAAGAATACTTGTGCTGATTGCTGGAACTTCCCATCAATCAGCCAAGAGTGCTCTGCCAGTGGGTGAGAGTCTGTGAGACAGGAGAGCTTGAGGACTTCCCCTGTATGGTAATAGGTGTATGCAGAAGAAATGGTGGGGGCATCCAGGTCATCTGGAGCAAAGAGAATAAAATCACAGCTGATTTTGTCAAAGGGAAGGGAAAATCCTGGTCTGCGGAAGGGCCACAGTGACCCTGTGAGGTAAGTCACAACATTAAAGTCCCAGCCAAATCCCTGCTGTGTTCACTGGTCTGGAGCCTGAGGCACTCACCTGTTTTTCCTATCATAAGCTGTGGAACCTGATTCTCCCATGACAGGAGCAGTCTTTTCTCTCCCACTGTTCATCAAGTATAAGCCTACTCTTAGTAGTCATGGCCAGCTTTGATGTTCAGGGGTAAAAGTCTCCGTACTTGCCCCTGAGAGGGACTGGGAGGCCTGGCCTCTGGCCATGTGTATTTGGGATGGCAGCCTGGCTCAGAGAGGAACAGAAGATACTCACAGAGGAGATTCAGGGTGACTGGGTCACTGCGGCTGGAACTCACTGGGTTCTTCATTTCACATTCATAGGGTCCTGTAGTATCCTTTGTGACAACAAATAGAATGAGAATCCTGTTGTTTTTGGATAGCTGCAACGTGCGACTGTTACGGAGGCTCTGTCCATTTATCCACCACGAGTAGCTGACGTCCTGAGTGTCAGGATCACAGGATAAGATCACAGTCTCCGCGGCCTCCCTGGGGTTTAAGTTGCTGCTGGAGATGGAGGGCTTGGGAGTCTCCACTGTGCAGATAACAGAGAGAAGATTGCCCTGTGTGGCACCTTTGATTCCCCCAAAGACATTTTTCAATCAGTGATAGCCTTTCCCACCTCTAAGCCTACCCCAGTTCTCAAAAGCCCATGGCAGGAGTGTGTGTTACAAGACAGATGCATGGCAATCTGAGGGCTCAGAGATTGTGAGGCTGCCTGCTTTATGTGGGAGAAGCACAGACTTTCTCAAGTGTGAATTGAACAGCAGCATTGGGTCATGGAAAGATATGGGACCAGCAGTCACAGCCCCTGGTGCCTCTCTGAGTCCCTCCCTGTCCAACTGCCTGCCTAGCCCACCTTGGGGTCCTCACCTGGAGCATGCAGTGCTGGAATCTTCTTAGTTTCAGTCTTACTTTGTCCCCCAAGGTATGCTTTCTCTGCACCTTCCCTTTCCAAGGACATCCTACAGATAGATGATGGAACTTCCCATTGTCCTTAAACCCTTTGGGTACTGGGAAGCCTGGCCTGTGATTGTGTACTTCAGTAGAAATAACACAGGGGAGACCAGAGTCAAGCCTGGAGGTCAGTTCAGTCATCAGGCAGTGGAGCCACAAGTTGGGGCAGTATTCCCAGCTGTCTCATAGTGAACTGACTTGAGCCAGTGACCTCTAAAGATAGAGCAGAGTCCATGGGATGACCTACAAAAAGTGAAGGCGACAGGCAAGAGCTGATAGCTTTGGACCAAGACCACGTTCCCTGTCCTGTATCCATGATGTTCCCTCCCCCTTGTAGAGGGCAGGTGATTACCATGTGTATCTTTCTAGAAATACATGTGGATGTTTGCAAATGCAGAACTGATTGGTGGAAAGGCCGAACTTGAAGTGATGATGGAAATCTGGCCCTCATGGACCACACGGGTTTGGTGGCTATTAGACCAATGTTTGGGAAGAAGTCTTGCAGATACTTTCTCTCATTAGACATTCTACTCTCTGATTCTGTGAGTTTGACTACTCTATGTACCTCACCTCAGTGGATTCCAGAATGAATCGGAGAGTAGAATAATAGTTTCCAGGAGCTGGGGTCGGGGGAATAGGGCATTGTTCCGTGGGTGTGCAGTTTCAGTTATGCAGGATGAAGAGGTTCAGGAGATCTCCAGTACAGCTTCATGCCTATAGTTCATACAGATAGTGTTCCATATGCAGAATGCTTAAAACCAAGTGTTTTGGATTTCTAACTTTTTTTTATTTTGGAATATTTGCCGTAGATATACTGGTTTAGCATCCTACCTCTGAAAAATTTAAAATCCAAAATGCTCCAGTGAGCACTTCTTTCTAGCATCACATCAGTGGTCGGAAGTGTTGGATTTTGGAACATTTCAGATTTTGGATTTCTGGATTTGGGATGCTCAATTTGTAATACTGTAATTTTTGCATAAAATGTTGTCAAAAGTTTAGAACTCATGTTATGTTCTGACTCTAGTAACAAAACAAAAAAAGATTTGGGGGAAACATTAAAATGTTGTCATAAGTGGAAAGTTTTACTAATAGTCGAAACATCTAAGATGAATTGCTGATAGTAGTATTTGTCTTGATACCCAATTAAATTTTAGGTGTGCCATCAATTCCAGCAGGATCACATGCTCAAAGAAAGATGCCAAAGATGATTTGAAATTAGCAAGTCCTTTAGTAGAAAGAGTCCCGTTAAAAGGACAGAACTGATCAGTGTGTCAATTACTTAAAGGGGGGAATGATGCTGAATTAAAAGAAGTGATGAGTGTTATGTTAGTAAATATAGAAAGAGCTTCCTGTTTCTAATTTCTGTGTAGAGTTAGGAAAAATGGGGAAGAGCCGAAAACAGGTATGTGAAATGCTTTCTTCATTTTCTCTCAACCTCAGGAAATACAACTCGAGTTTCAGTTTGTGTGAATTAGGAAGAGTCCAAGTGAGACGCCAATGGCTCATGTGCCTCCCACACGAAGAACCCCAACTTATGAAAACGGCATCATCATGAGGAAACAATCATATGTGCCACAGGCAGTAAAACCACCAGATAGCACCCACCTGGCCACCACCAACAGGTCCCCAAAACCACCAGTATTCCCATTACGTGTGTGTTACAGCCTTGGTAGTTGTCCCACAACTACAACATTTAAAAATTGCAATTGTCAATACAAAATGTTACATATGAAGTTGAATATGTTGTTCCACTTTTTTTCCCATCACTCTTTTTGAACTTTCCTGTTTCAGTTTTGGAAGTTTCTATTGAAACATCCTCAAATTAGGGATTCTTTCCTCAGCTGTGTGCATTCTACCAGAAAGCATCAAAAGCATTCTTCATTTCTCTAATAGAACTTTTCTTTTTTTTATTTCTGAGGTGGAGTCTCGCTCTGTTGCCCAGGCTGGAGTGCAGTGGCACGATCTTAGCTCACTGCAAGCTCCGCCTCCCGGGTTCATGCCATTCTCTTGCCTCAGCCTCCAGAGAAGCTGGAACTACAGGTGCCCGGAAACACACTAGGCTAATTTTTTTGTATTTTTAATACAGACGGGGTTTCACCATGTTAGCCAGGATGGTCGTGATCTCCGGACATCGTGATCCACCCACCTCGGCCTCCCAAAGTGCTGGGATTACAGGCGTGAGCCACTGTGACTGGCCATCTCTGAGGGATTTTAAAGAGTTGTTGACTTTTGAGTTTGTTCAGCTTTTTACTTACTCTTAAAAGCGAGTGACAAATTTGAAGCTTGTTATACACCTGACAAGAAACCAAAAGTCTCTAGGAAGTGACGGGAGAATGTGAGCTCCATAGAAGGTTGACGATGGAGTCACGAATGAAATGGGTGAAATCAGCCCATGGGCTTGAGAAACAGCAGGCCTGTCCAGCCTCTGACACCCTGGTGAGTCAGTGCAAAGATTACAACAGTGACAGCAAACTAACATGGCTGACTCCATCTGGCATCTAGTCTCAGGCTGGCTGTCCTCACTCATTCCTGGACATAGGCCAGGCTAACCATGGGAGGAATTTAGTTTATGGTTTAATTTTGAAGGAAGAAAAATATTTCCTCCATAAAACTAATACCCTTACTTTGCCCAGGGATTGCCTTTGTAAAACTGGTGAAAGACCATGAGACTAAGATTATAGGAGGGAACTGAATTCTGCTAAAATGGAGGCACAGTTTCTATAATCTCTTACTGCTTAAATGTCATTTGGTCAGAGTTTACAAAATTTGTAACTAATTGCTGCTATAGATAACATCACTATTGTAGAACCTGAGATTGGTCTTTTGAGAAAGAATGGTCTTTCTCATTCTTTGCATTCTGGCAACCCGCTGATCTCATCCATACCCATGACTAATGACTCAGCCAGTCACGTGGTCCCCATCTAGAGTCAGATTCAAGCACAAACAGATCATTTCCCTCCGCCCGCATGATTCCATCCTCAAAAAATCAGCAGTACCCATTTTTTACTCCTGTGCCCCTGAAACTATCCTTGAAAATCTCTAACCCCTGATCCACTACGGAGGCTGATTTGAGTAATAATAAACCTCCATCCTCCTGTTTGGCAGACTTGGAGTCATTAAAATCTTTCTTTACTGCAAATCACCTTCTGGATAAATTGGTTTTGTTTGTGCAGGAGGCCAGAAGAACTTGTCTGGGAATTGTAAGAGTGGATGGAGGAGTTGTCTATCCATGTTCCATGGTCTTGTCCACAGAACAGCCTTACAAAGGAAAGAGCCCTGGGTGGGGATACAGTAGAAGCTTATTCTCTTAGTGACCTGGGGACACTGGCTCAAGTTGAAGCCTGGCAGGAGTGGCAACTCCGGGTGACTTCTGTGCCTTTCCCATTTCCTCGGAGGTGGGCCGTTCCACAGTGTTAGCAGGAAGGGGACAGAACAGTCAGCCTAGTTAGAGGGAGTGCCTGGGGAAGGCCTAGGGGTGGAGGAAGAAGCTGTGCAGGACAGGGTTTGCCAGGTAGAATGAAGTGGGAGAAAGATGAGGGACACAGAGAAGCAGAGCGAGGCAGAGACAGCATGGCAGTGAACAGTGGGGCCTACAGTGACTTCAGAGACCCCCGGGACTAGGTGTCCCCATTTTCACAGTGGACGGAAATGGCTGCATATCAGGCCTAAGTCCATGTCATCCTCTCAGGCATTGCCACTGAAGATGGAGAATTTTGTTCAGAGTCCCAGCCTGGGCACATGGGAGGAACCACCTTATTAAAATTAATTTAGGAAAACAGTATGCATGCTTTATTCTTCTAGAATAATTATTAATGTCATGTTTTACAATATATCTCTTAAAGGAATGGTGAGAATCATCTACATAATGTATGTTTTACATGGTCTTTTCTATAATTGCAGCTTTCACATGTTCTTATAGAATCCATTTTCTTTGGGAACACACAGGCAGTATCTCTGTGTTGATTTCTACTGAGAAATCATTATGCAGGCTGGAGAGAGTCACATTTCCTAATGAGAGATGGAAAGCATCTGATTACCCGAAAAAGTGTCCAAATTCTGCTGGTATGATCATGGTGCTGCAGTTGGAGGTCAGCTTAAGGAGGATTCAGGCAAAGCAATTTTGAAAGTCTTTTTCATTGTTTTTGCTTGTTTGTTTGTTTTTTGTTTTGTTTGTTTATTTGTTTTTTTACAAAACCATGGGCAGAAGCCACCACCTGGATCCACCACATGTTGGAATGGATGAGGGACAGAAATGGAGCTCAGTAAATTGAGAATGAAATTGAGGAGTGGGGAAGAGGTTTGAGAGGTCAACGAGTGTGAGTGGTGAATGGGTGAATGATGAGAATGTTCAAAACATCTTCTTTCTCCATAATAAGAGAGCATTTAGGCCCCTGAGTCAGACAATGTCCAGGCCAGGGGGAGCAGGATGTTGTCAGCTCTCCTGGGCAAAAGTGAGACTCCAGCAGTGTCCAGTTACCTCATCCAGTTTGGGATTTACTCCTATTTTAAAAATGATCCAACAGTATACAATTTTGAAAATCCAAAAAAATCTCTATGCTACCATTCATGGATAGACAAGAGGCCCTAAGATGGTGAGAGAATCAGAATGGGGTTTCGGTTTACGTTGTGTATTTTTTTCTCCCAATATCTACAAAATTCCCTACATCAATTTTTTATTGTAACCAAGTGGGTGTCATTCCCTTTCACAATTACAGACATTTCCAGTTCACGGTTAAAACCCTTGGAAAACCCACACCCCTTCTGCTGTGAGGTACAGGCAGCCTTGTGGCATCACCTCTAAACATGCCTCCTGGGACATCAAATTGCTGATTAAGTAAAAGTCATTTCAGTAGACATTGAAGACCTCCATTTTACCCCTCTCACACTTGTAAATCTTCTACCAAGAGGTGATGAATTTTAGTGGTGATTTGCTTTTATAGATTAGTGTAGATTAATGCTTCTGCCAGGGGAAAATTTTTCATTGGGAAAAGCATTTGGCAAA